AAATAGAGTAGTTTAGTCAGGCCCCATGCCTCCGGTCTGGTTGGGGGTGGTGCAGCACATTTTTTGTAAACAAGTTGTGTGGGGGTGGAGTTAGTGGCATGCTAGGCCCCTTACTTTTAGCTTCTTGCTATTCTTGTATGTTCTTCAATGTGTGAAGCTGCTGCTAGGCAGAGCTCATGTCTAAAAATGGAGTATGTTTACTTTGCTGGCAGCTGCTCAGTTTTTCTTTGGACTCTGTCAACAGCTGCTCAGTTTCTCTTTGGACTGCCTAGCTCTTAGACATGTGTGTGCTGAATAAAGACTATTATTTCTTCTACCATGGCTCCAAGGACCTTTTCCCTGTTACCTAGCTCATGGACCTGCGTGTGAAGGGTTTGTGACCCAGTCTGGACAGTGGGCTTGAGGGGTCTGTGAGCTCCAGACCCAGCCCTAGCTCTATATCCACCTAACAAATCTTAAAATCAAGGCCCCAAACTAAGCATCATCATCATCATCATCATCCTAACATCCTATTGAGAGGCTTATACCACATGAAGGAAGTAAAAGTTATGACAACAGAATAAAGACTACAAGGGAGAAAATGTTAGTATATCATCATAAGGTTCTTATACTATATGTGAAATGATATGATATCACATTAAGATAAACTGTGATAACTTAAATAAGTATACTATAAACTCCAAAGCAACCACTGAAATACAAAATAAAGACATATAATTGATAAGTCAATAAAGAAGGTGGAAAAATACTATAAAATATTTAATCACCAGAAGAAGACAGAAAAAGAGGAAAAGGTGACAAAGAATAAATAGGACAAATAGGAAAGTAATAGATTTAAACCTACTCATATCAGTAATCACTTTAAATGTAAATGGCCAAAATGCACTAAGTAAAAGGTAGAGATTGTCAGACGAGATAAAAAAGTAAGACCCAATTATATGTTGCCTATAAAAAATGTACTTTAAGGGCCGGCCCGGTGGCACACTGGATAGTGCACCGCTTGGGAAGCGCGGCGGCGCTCCCGCCTGAGGGTTTGGATCCCACATACAGACCGGTTCCCGCTCACTGGCTGAGCGAGGCGTGGGAGCAACACCGAGGGTTGCAGTCCCGTTGCCGGTCCCCGGTCTGGTACGGGGACAACACTGAGGGTTGCGATCCATTGCCAGACACGGAAAAAAGATTAAAAAAAAAAAATGTACTTTAAATATAAAGGCACATATAAGTTAAAAGGAAAATGATGGGAAAAAATATACTACTAACACTAATCAAAAGAAAGCTGGAGTGGCTATACCAATATTAGACAAAGTAGATTTCAGAGCAAAAAACATCTCCAGGGATAAAGACTTCATAATGATAAAGAAGTAAATTAATCAAGGATAATTTAGGATATTATGCACTTAATAACAAAGCCTTAAAATACATGAAGCCAAAACCAATAGAATGTCAAAGAAAAATAGACAAATCCATAGTCAGAGTCTGAGATTTCAGTATCCTTCTTTCAATGGTTAATAAAACAAATAGTCAGAATATCAGAAAGAGTATAGGGCCAAGCCCGTGGTGCACTCGGGAGAGTGTGGCGCTGGGAGTGCAGCAGCGCTCCCGCCACGGGTTCAGATCCTATATGGGGATGGCCGGTGCGCTCACTGGTTGAGCACGGTGCGGCTGGTCACAAAAAGGACAAAAAAAAAAGAGTATAGAAAGACTTGAAAAACATTATCAATCAACTTGACCTGATCGACATTTATGGAACACTACACACCCAAATAAAAAAAGTCCCCATAATTTTAAAAGAATTCAAGTCATGAAAAGCATATTCTTTGATTACAATGGAATTAAATTAGAATTAATAACAAAAAGATGTCCAGAAAACTCCCATATATTCGGAAACTAAATACACACTTCTAAATAACATATGAGTCAAAGAAAAAAGAGAAATTAGAAAGCATTTTGAACTGAGTGGAAATGAAAACACAATATTAAAATTGCGGGATGCTACCAAAGCAGGGGGAAATTTATAGCATTAAATACCTATATTAGGAAAGAAGGAAGGACATAATAAATGACCTATTTTTCACCTTAAGAAACTAGAAAAAAAGAACAAACTAAACCCAAAATAAGAAGGAAAAAAAATAAAAGGGAAATCATCAAGATCTGAATGGTCAATAAAGTAGAAAGCCAAAAAAAAAAAAGAAGAAAGAAAGTAAAAAAATTATGAGAATAATAAAATCTTTGAGTAGATCATTAAAATCTATTGATCAGAATGAAAGAGGTGATACCACTACATATTTTACAGATATTAAAAGGATAATAATGGAATAGTATGAATAACTTTAAGTCTATACATATTTAACAACTCAGGAAACATGGACAAATTTTTTTGAAATACACAAACTACCAAATCTACTTCAAAAAGAATAGATAACTTGAATAGCTCTACTATCTTGTAATTTTTATGTTAAAATCTCAGAAAGAAAACTCCAAACCCAGATAATCTCACTAGTGAATTCTATACATGTGTTAAAAAAATACCAATTTTAAACAATGACTTCCAGAAATTTGAAAAGAAGGGCATACTTTTTTAATTATTCTGAGTCCAGTGTTACCCTGAAACCAAAGTCAGACAAATTCCTTACAAGAAAAGAAAACCAATATCACTCATGAACATAGATGGAAATTTTAAAACCAGATTTTAGTAAACCAAATTCAGAAATACATAAAAAGTATAATGCATCACAACCAATCTGGGTTTACGCTAGAATGCAAAGTTGGTTTAACATTCAAAAATCAATCAATGTATTTCGCCTTATTACTTAACTATAACGCATACACACACGCACCCATAGGATCATATTAACAGATGCAGAAAAAGCAATTGACAAAATCCAACATCCATTCCTAATAATAACTCTCAAAAGGCTAGGAATAGAAAGAAACTTCTTCAAGTTGATAAAGGGCATCTGTGAAAATCTTACAGCAAACATATCATATGCTTAATGGTGAAAGAATGAATCCTTTCCCCCAAGATCAGGAACAAGACAAGGAAGCCTCTTTTTATCATTTCTGTTCAACAGTGTAGTGGAGGTTCTAACCAGTGCAATAAGGTAGAAAAAGGAAATAAAAGACATCCAAATTTGAAAGAAAGAAGAAAATTACCTTTATTTGTAGATGACATGATCAAAATTGCAATGGAAATCTTTAAAAAAAGCTACCAGACCTAATAAATGAGTTTAGCAAGGTTGCAAGATACAAGAGCATTTTACAAAAATTGTTTGTTTTACTATATACTAGCAACAAACAACTGAATTTTAAAAATTACTATCATCAATGTCATCGGAAATGGGAAATACTTAGGGATGAATTCGATCAAAAATGTGAAGAAATTCTAAACTGGAAACCTACAAAATATTGCTGAGAGAGGGACAGAGAGAGAGAGAAAAAAAACTAAACTAAATAGAGAGATACACACTATTCATATATTAAAATTGTTAATATTGATAAGATATCAATTCTCCTCAAATTGATATATAGATTCAATGTAATCTCTATTCAAATCCCAACAGGCTTTGCTTTAGAAATTGAGAAGCTGAATCTAAAATTCCTAGAATAGCCAAAACAATTAGAAAAACAATGTAGTTGGAAAATGAATACTACTTGATCTGAAGACTTACTACAAAACTACTACAATCAAGACAGTGTAGTATTTGCACAAAGATACGTAAACATATCAATGGAAGTAGAGTCAAGAAACAGCCCACATATTTATAGACACCTGATTTTTAGCAAAGGTGCAAAGACAATTCAGTGGAGAAAGGAGAGTCTTTTCTATTATGGCGCTAGAACAACTGGACATTCATATGCAAACAAAGAAACTTGGGTTCATACCTTCAACCATATACAAAAATTAACATAAAATGTCTAACAGAACTAAATAGAAAGTGTAAAACTATACAACTTCTAGATGAAAACATAGGAAAAAATCTTTGTAACTTTGGGTTAGGCGAAGATTTCTTAGATACAACACCAAAATTATGATTCAAACATGAACAACTTGATGAATTGGACTACATAAAAATTAAGAACTCCTTGGTGTTCAAAAGACACTTGTGAAAAAAAAAAAAATCCATAGCATGGTAAATCTTTACAAAGCATATATCTCATATAAGGTTTGCATCCAGAATATGTAAAGAACACTCAAAACTTGATAATAAGAAACACTTTATAAAATGGGAGTTGAATAGACACTTCACAAAAAAGTATGCTCAACATCAAAGATGTTCAGCATCATTACACATTAGGGAAATGCAAGTTAAATCCACAATGAAATATTACTACACACCTGTTAGAATGACTGAAATTAAGATTGACCATTACAAGTGCTGGTGAAGATGCGAAAGAACAGTCATCCTTACACATTGCTGATGAGAATGTAACATGATATAAGGGCTTTGGAAAGCAATTTGGCAGTGTCTTAAACAGTTAAAACATACACCTGCTATATGATCCAATCATTTGATTCTTAGGTATTTTCCCAACAGAAGTGAAAGCATATGTCCACATAAAGACTTGATCCCAAATGTTCACAGACAGTTTATTTGTAATCGCTCCAAATTGCAAACATCCCAAATGTCTGTTAAAACGTGAATGGAAAACCAAACTGTTACATCCACACAATGGACTGACATGAAAGGCATTGAACTATTGATATGTGCAACATAAATGAATCTCAAAATAATTATGCTGAGTGAGAAAAGCCAGACAAAGAGGAGTACAACTGTATGATCCTTGTTACATAAAATTCTAGAAAATGCAAACTAATCTGTAGTGACAGTAAACAGATAAATGGTTGCCTGGAGACGAGGAGCAGAAAGGATGAATCACAAGGGACCTTTAGTGGGTGTTGGGTGTGTTCATTGTCTTGATTCTGGTAATGATTTCACAAGTGTGAAACACACCCAACACCCACAAAACTTATTGAATTGTATACTTGACATATGTACAGTTTATTGCATGTCAATTCCACCTCAATAAAGCTGTTTTAAAAAAGATAAAAACATTGATGAAGATGAAGCCTGGGGGGTGGGGGAGAAAGGGGCGGTTAATGGGGGAGAGGCAGTGGAAGAACTGAGGACTCAGAAAGTCTGGGCAAGTGGAACCCCAGGGAAGAAGCTAGAGCCTACAATTTGTCCTGTGCCCACAGCCCTTCCCCTCCTGCTCCCTTTCTCAAGTCTCCTTCTGTGTCAATGCATGGGCTTTAGGAGGTGTCCTGGGATCTCTGCTTCTGCCTGTCTGCAGAGCTGGACAAGCCCCTTCCTCACAGCTCTGGGATTCCTTCTCATCTGTTTTCCTTCTGCGTCCTCTGCCTTTCACAGTTCTTGTTGAGAGGCTCCCTTTGGAAGCCTGGTAGAAAATCAACATTTTCAAAAAATATTTGGAAATATATTGACTCTGGGTAGTTTTGGCTTGTGATTTTCTAGCCTAGTGCCTCAAACATAGCAGACACTCAATGGAATGGGTGATGAGGAATTACAATTTACGTTGTTACAATCGAAACCACGAGTCAGACATCCAGTGAGCAAGGGAGCACGTGGGTCTGACCCCACGCCTGGGCCCCATCAGGACCTCTTCTGGGGGTGACAACACTGGAGGACCCAAGGTGTGATGAACAGAATCTAGATCTCAGTAGGGTCTGGGGCAGAGAAGCCCAGATAGGCAGGAGATGGAATGAGCCTACTGAGAGCCAAGTATCCCACCTGGTGGGTCAGAGGATTCTGGACTCAGAAGCTCAGCTATTCACTGGAGCCCCAAGACTCAGGGGCTAAACTGGCCTGACCTTGAAATATGGGAGACATGGTATGATAATAACAACAGCTAACGGTTATGAAACTTTTATGTTATGCCAGCTATTTCTCCAAACAAAATTATGAGGTGTGTCCTATCGCTAGCCCCATTTTACAGATGGGAAAAATTGAGGCTCAGAGAGAAGTTACTTAAACAGGTCAGTGGTGAGGTTTGAGCCCAGGTGCATCTCAAGCTGAGCCAGGGCTGGCTCATGGGTACAGTCGCACAGAACACCATGCTTAGAAGCACCCCATGCTTGATTTAATGCTCTGCTGTGTTGCTTAATAATTTTTGAACAAGGGATCTGCATTTTCATTTTGCACTGGGCCTCACAAGTTATATAACCTGTCCAGGGCCGAGCCTCAGAGATTTTATATTTAATACACACAGCACCTCTAAAGAAAGGTGCTATGAATGTCCCCGTTTTTTTTTTCCTTTTTTTTTGTCTTTTTTATTGACCGGCAACGGGATCACAACCCTCAGTGTCGCGCCCATACTGGGGACCGGCAAAGGGATCGCAACCCTCAGTGTTGCGCCCACACCGCGCTCAGCCAGTGAGCGGGAACCAGTCTCCACATGGGATCCGACCCCTCCGCGGGAGCGCAGCCGCGCTCCCAAGAGGCGCACTCTCCAGTGCGCCACCGGGCTGGCCCAGAATGTCCCCGTTTTGAAGGAGAGCAGATGGAGGCTAACAGAGCAATGACAGTGTTCAAGTCGGGACTCAGTGGGTATGAGCCCAGAGCCTGGGAGCTTAGTCACTTCATTATGCTGTTTCCAAAGAAGTCCTGTCTTGTGACACCAGATCTGCTCTATGCTGGGTTCAGGAAAGTCTTTAGCGTACCCCTCCACACTCCACGTTGGTGGGGTCAAGCCCCTCAGGCATGCCAGAGCACTTGGCACCCCTCTCTGAGACCAGCGGGGGTGGACTCTATTCTGTCCCAGATCCCACTCACCTGAGAGGACAAGGAACAGTGCCAGCAGCAGGGAACAGTGAGGCAAGTGGGCTAGACGGCTGGGAGTGGGCATCGTGAGGGGCACAAGATGTCTCCGGCGGTCCTGAAGACTGGCCACTGTTCTGCTCTCTGGCGGGTGGTGAAGTCTGAAGTGGGGCCTGTGGATGAGGCCGTTTCTGCTTCTCTTGGCCACGGCTACTTGGGGAAGTGTTTTTTATCACAGCAAGACAAGCTAGTGCAAGAGGAAGGAGCCTGGTCAAAGGGTATCCGGCTTTTGGGTCTAGGCCATTGTTCCTGTAATTACTGTGTCAAAACCTTATTGAGTCCTTGCCAAGGGCCCTGTCCTAGGCATGCTGGGAGGGAAATGAGCACCACTATCACAGAGTCTACTTTGGAGTCAGCCAGCCTTTCGATCAAGTGTGGGTCTGTCTCGTCCTGGCTGTGTGAGCTTTCAACATCACGTGCCATCACTGAGCCTTTGTTTTCTCATCTGCAAAATGGGAACAGCAACTTCTGGTCAAGATGGTAGAATAGATGGTCCCCAGCATCACTCTCTCTCACAAATCAACTGATTTACACCTATAAAAAAGCAAAGACAACCAAGCTGGGGCTGCTAGAGCTCAGGGGAAGAAGAGGAGAGACCTACGGAGTGCTTGAAGGTGGGAGAAGCCACGATGAGAGAAAGAAAGAACTGCTCTGACCATTTCGAATACCAGCTGCTTCCAGGCTGCAGCTGCTGAGTGCATAGAGCAGGAGTTGGCAGAAGCCATAGCTGTACCCTTTGGATGAAGTTGCTTGAAGGCAGCAGGGGAGAAGAGGGCTTTTGTGGCCCCCAGGACAGCAAGACCACTAATAGTGTTCCCGTGGACCCACATAGGAGCGAGGAGCCACAACAACTGAGAAAATGGAGCCACTCAGAGGCCAGTGAGTCATCGCAAGGGACTGGAGTATGGCCTGTTCCATGGCCCATCCCATGAGAAGTGTTTGGAGCATGGGTGGTGGGGGAGATGGGTCCACCAGGGGAACACTGGGGCACAGCAAGGACAGCTGATCTGCCCCCCCAATCTGCACAGGACCACTCAGAGGAGACTGGTCAGGAATATAGAATTGCACAGGGTGCAGTTTGATGAACAGACTCAGGCCCAGACTGGAGTTTCTACACAACCCAGGTACACCAGATCTCATGAGAACGAGAAGTACCTGTAAAGACAATTAAAACCTGAGCTGTACAAAATGCCTTCCCTAGGAAATCAGCAGCAAAACAGCAATTAGCTTAACCACAGAGCTCAAGTGCTGGTCCCCACAGAAAGTTCCCCTATTTTATTTTATTTTATTTATTTATTTTTCCTTTTTGTCTTTTTTACTGACCAGTAATGGGATCGCAACCCTCGGTGTCGCGCCTGCACCGCGCTCAACCAGTGAGCGGGAACTGGTCTCCACATGGGATCCGAACCCTCGGCGGGAGCGCCACTGCGCTCTCAGGCGGCGCACTCTCCAGTGCGCCACCGGGCCGGCCCAAGTTCCCCTATTTTAGAAGTAAGCAAAGGACAACAAGTTAGTTCCAGCACAGAGTTTAAGTGGTGGGAACCACAAATATTCCAACTCAGAACTGAAAGAAAGTACAAAGTATCTACAATCGGAGACAACATTTGATATTAACTAGTAAAGGTCTAATTTCACCAAAGAACACCTATAACACCTAGAAGGACTAGAAGTCCCCTGGGCTACCAAGCCAGAAAGTGGGGAGGGCTGGGGCCTCAGCCATGTCCCCGACACCCACAACCAGTCCTGAGGGTGGGGGCCTCAGGCCTCGGCCACTCCCCCTGACACGTGCAAACACCCCAGCGACAACCACTGAGCTGCCACAGGAAGCGCCCAGGCTCTCCTGAGCCCAGGCAGTGGGGGGCTGAGGGCCTCAGCCACACACCCCCAACACATGCAACCAGCCCCGTGATGAGCACTGAGCCACAGCAAGAAGGGCCCTGGGTTCCTGAGCTGGGGTGGTGGGTGGTGAGGGCTTTTGCCACACCCCCCGATATCTGCACCCAGCCCAGCAATGACTAAGCCACTGCTGGAATCCCCCTAGTCTCCCCTGTGAGAGTGGTGAGGGGGGTGCCACAGGCCTCAATCCCGCCCCTCCTCCTTCCTCCTTCTTCCATCCCATTTCCTTCCCCTTTCCCTTCTCCCCCTCCCTCCCAACTGCTCCATAACAACATCATAGAATGTAAAAAAATAATATTAATTTTAAAAATTAAAGAAATAAAAATAAAAATAAAAAAAAGCTGTGAAGGGAAAAAAGATGGAAACAGCAACAACCTCCTCCTCAGAAAGGTGCTGTGAGGATTATATGAGATAGGGTACGTGAGGGCACAGAATGATGCAAATACTGAGCATATTAGCCATCATTTTTCACGATACATATGAAATAGAGGAGGTGACACTTGCTTATGAAGGACTGATTATAAAGTAGGCCCCATGGAAGCCACCTCTGGCACTGCAGGAAGGGGACAGACCTGCTTCCCAATTGTGTAACCACGGGCAACTCTCTAAACCTCCATTTTGTGGGGTGTGAATGTATCACACTCAGATTGTGCAGAAATTTGTGTTTGTGACATGTTTATTTCTTGTAACGGGTCCCTAGATGTTCTCAGAAGCCCCCTCGTGCTGGCTGTCAGGAAGGAAAAGCTTAAACCTGCTGATTAAAGCCATCCCGGGCTCTTCCAGTTTCCAGCAGCCTCCTCAGCTAGATCGTCTGGGTTCAAATCTTGGCTTTACCCAGATCTGGCCATGTGACCAATCATCTGAGCACTTTTTGCCTCAGTTTCCTGATCTGTAAAACAGGAATAAAAATATGGTAGCGTGTATGGGTCAGAATACGCAGTGTATATGCTGCCACCACCCTCTTTTAGGTTAACTCAGTCTTTTCCAGAAAACAACAACAACAAAAAAAACCCCACAAGCCAGGCTTTCAGTGCTTTCCTTCCTCCCTCTTACTCCAGATGGTCCTGGGTGCAGAGGAAGCTGAAGTTTCTTCCTGGGGCGGGATGGCAAGCCTCAGGCCTGAGTATGTCCTCTGGGTCCCCAGAGTCTGATGTCTGCCATGAGGAGGTTGGTCTGGTCTCTGAGCACTTTGCACTGGGTCTGCTGAGGTGTGGCTGGTCCTGTCTGGATTTTTGGGTCCTTGCATTGGCACCACTGCTAAATCCCATTGCTCCTTCTACTTGTTGTCCTGTTGAGGAGACCCATATATTGGAGCCTCTTTGAATTGACCACAGGCCTAGACAATTCTACCAGACCCTCAGCACCTGCACATCACCCTCACAGGGGAACTTCTGAACCACCTGCTCATCTATGCAGATTCCTTTCTTAGCTATTTCTTTTCTTTTCAAGTTTTACTTAAAAAATAATTTTATTTTAATAGGTAATGTATTAGTTAACTATTGCTCCATAATAAACCCGCCCCAAATTTAGTGGCTTGAAAGAATAACCATCTATTTAATTCATGATTCTGTGGGTTGGCAATTTAATCTGGGCTCAGTTTGGTGATTCTTCTCATCTCAGCTGATTTTAGCTGGGATTGCTCATGCACTTGAGGTTGGCTGCAGGTTGTCTAGGTGGCTTTGTTACTGGGGTTGGCTGATTGTTGACTGTGGTACCTCAACTCTCCTCTTTGTGGTCTTTTATCCTTCAAGAGGCTAGTCTAGGCTTGTTCACATGAAAGTGGCAGTTTTGAGAGAGAGAGAGACAGACACAGACAGAGACAGAGAGGAGAGAGCAGAAGTTGCAAGATTCAAGGTCACTTCTGCCACATTCTTTGGGCCAGAGCAAGATACAAGACCAGACTGATTCAAGGGATGGAAAATAGACTTCACTCCTGATAGGAGAAGATGCAAAGTTACATTGTAAAAGTTATGGATACAGGAAAGGGGTAAAGAATTGTGGTCATTTTGTAATTTATCTACGACGGGCATCCATGGAGTATAAAATTCACAGGATTCAAAGTCTCCTTTATAGGGTTCTCAAACATTACCTTCCTCAGGGTTAACCACAGTCACCAGTTTCTGGAGCTATTCAGTTCCTCCACTATTTCCGGTCTAATGCCCAGAACCAGGTTAGACACGGTCCGTTTGTGATGTCTGTGGCCTGTGAACACCCAGGGAAGCCAGGCCATGGTTCTTTACACTATAGGAATTTCTACACATAACTAGGGGTTCTATAACCCTTTCCCACCCCACCCCAGCATTTTAACCCCAAGATCATGGGGGTGCCAAGACACTAGCTTAGCAAAACTGTCCCGCTCTTTCTTTTGTTTTCTACCTCCACCAAGTCACATGGGAGGACTTCCCCTTCTACCCTCCCGGAAGGGACTTTCCTAGCCTCAGTCCTCTTCCAAACAGATGGCCTTCTTTGTTCTAGCTAGAATCCCTCCTGCTCCCTCCTCGAGGCAATGTGTCTCACGCTCCAGCTTTAATAAGGGAAAGAGCTACAGGGGAAGGAATTGGACTACTGTGAGGAGAAAAAATGCACAAGGAAGTATATAAATATTTTTAAAGTTATATTTGTCCTGCTTCTCTGTAAAATGGATGAAATGTAATGGTGTGTGAGGCACTGTCTCACTGTAATTGCTCAAGCAATGACATTCCTCCTGGTCACTGCACTTGGGTGTCACATGAACAGCAGTGTCTGTTACTAGCTTGAGTTAAGTTGTCCACAACATATGTATGTTCTATATATGTCCCGAGGTTCTATATAGAACACAAGTCTACACGTAAGTTAGCTTTTCCCTCTACAAAATGGAACTTTGTTAAAATAACAGCTTTTTCATTGTTTACCATAAAATGGAAAACATAGTAAATAAGTATAGTGAAAACATTCAACCTCATCAGCAATCGAGGAAATACCAATTTAAAAAATAGCAACACTGGTATCTTTGCAATCAGCATTTCTCTCCACTTCTTTCTCTGTTCTCTTCTTTATTGGAAGGGCTAAAAGCTTAGGAACTACATTTTCTAGAATTCCTTGTCAGCATCGTTCTGGGTTAGGTTAGACCAAGGAGAGGTGCTTGTATTAGAT